GAAAGAGAAAAAGAGAGCAATGCAAATACAAAAAGGAGAGAGAGAAAGAAGGACAGAGAGAAGAGAAAGACCGAGCGAGAGAAATAGACTGTGGGGAAGAGGGGGTCAGATGAAAGAGTACACTCCTGTAAACACACCAAACCCTGTTGGTTTATTTTAGATCATCTTATTTTCTCTTTATTTTTTCTTCTCTTCTTTTTCTCCCAGTTCTTCTTCTTCCAGTTCATCTTGTTTAACACACAGTCTCCACTTTCTCACAGTAAAGACTCCAAAAGGGCAAATTCATTTTTTTTTCTATCATATTATTCTTTAATATTCTCAAACCTCTGAGCCTTGGCAACATTAATGTACCGTGACCCTTCACTGCCTGACAATAAAGCACTCTGAATTACACTGAGAGGGAGAGAGAGAGAGAGAGAGAGAGAGAGAGAGAGAGAGAGAGGAGGAGGAGGAGGAGGAGGAGGGGATAGCAGAGAGAAGGAGAGAAAGATAGACAGAAAGCAAACAAAGAGAGAAAACAGAGAGAAAAAGAAAAGCTAGAGAGGCAGAGAGAGTGAATGAAAGAAAGAGAGAGAGAAAGAGCAGAGAGAGACAGATAGAGAGGTTGAAAGAGAGAAAGATAGAAAGAGCAGAGAAAGGTAGAGAGAGGGGAGAGAAAGAAAGAGAGGAGGAAAACCAAGATAGACTAAGAGAAACAGAGAGAGAGAAACAGATGGAAAGAGAGAAAAAGAGAGAGAGAGCAATACAAATACAAAGAAAGAGTGCGAAAGAAGGAGGGAGAAAAGAGAAAGACAGAGAGAGAGAGTACAGAAGGAGAAAGAACAGAGAAAGACAGAGAGAGAGAGAGAGAGAGAGAGAGAGAGAGAGAGAGAGTCTAATGAGACCACTAACAGGGAACACTAAGTTTCAGCGTTTGTACTGTAGACCTGTGACAGACGGCGCGGCTGAGGCTGAAGTTTAAGGCTGTATGGTCTTCAAAGTAGGTTCTTCAAAGCCAGATCAGATTCCTCGTCCATCAGTTATAAATATTTATGTGCTAACAATAGTGGACGTTCGCTGGGCTGGACGGTTTAACTTGTGACCGCTTCTATTAATAACCCTTCAGAAGAGAGCAGCACTTTCTCTCACCATGCCTGACATGCTGTTTGATGAGGCCTCCATACCATAAAGGTTACACTTGTTTTAAATAGTCTTTATGTCTCTCAGACTGTAAGTGGACTGGAAGTGTTTTCTTTCTCTCACATTTGTTCAAGTGGAATCGTTTAATGTTGTACTGCACTCTGTGTCCAGAGTATCCAGGACCCCCGTTCTTATGAATAAACACAGGCATTCAGTTGCACAGACAGTAAGATAGAAAGAGAAGCAGAAAGCAAACAAAGAGAGGAGAGAGAAAACGGCGAGAGAGAAAAAGAAAAGTGAGAGAGTTAGAGAAAGTGAGAGAAGGTGAATGGAAGAAAGAAAGAGAGAAAGACAGAGGAGGAGAAAGAGGGAAAGATAGAAAGAGCAGAGAAAGGTAGAGAAAGGGGGAGAGAAAGAAAGAGAGGAGAAAAAGCAGGAGAGACTAAGAGAAAGAGAGAGAGCAGAAACAGATGGACAGAAAGTAAGTGGATTCAATCTCCATATCATCTCCATAGAAAAGCACTGACCAATGAACAAGGATGCGCTGGAGCAGCTACATATGAGCCTAAGGTCACCATGTCTAGAGCCGAGCATCGGCTAGAGAGGTCTAAAGCCCTCCAGCACTGGGCTGTGGAGCAGTGGAACTGCCTTCTCTTGATCTTTGGGATAAGCTGGAGTGACAGAAATCATCATTCAACGTTAGTAACTGACCTTACTG